AAACTTCTCATCCTCCTTGAATCACCTGGGAAGCTCATGCACATTTAGTGTCTGATCTTCTAGCTCTGTTCTTTCGTGATCTGCTTCTGAAGAAGCCCTGTTTATTTTTTGCCACACTGGAGAAGAGGTTGAATTGAGGGCAATGTGTTGAGATTCCCATTGCCTTCCAGTGGGAGTTAACATTCGGGGAGGGGGGGGGAACGACACTGCCTGTATGCACTGGAGGGTGACTTTTCTCATTGTTACTGAGGGGATAGACATATTTTCATATCTGGTACAAAGCTCACTTCTTTTCTTTTTCCATCCCCTTCCAGTGGTGTAAAGCTGTCCTGTTCCTCTTGTCCCTTTGTAACATCTGAGGGTGATGCAATGGCCAAACATCTGGTCTTCAATCCATCCCATGAGTTTAGTAACATTATTTTCCGAGGTAAGAGTTTGAAAGGGGGCAGAAAAGATGCAAAACATTAATGTGGGAGGACATAATACATCCGTTGCTAGACCCCAGGTCAAATACACCTTTGTTTGGCATTGCAGTGAGCACTTACTGAGTCCTGAGTTGTGGTAAAACGTAGTATTGGGGACCTCCTGAAGTGCCTGAATGAGTCTTCATTGTTACAGGGATTGGAGAGTTAAGCTTTGAATGAGGCTGGCTCTGCCTGGAGCTCAGCTGTGTCCCTGGTAAGGCTGTTCTGAGCTCTTCTGAGGGAGACACAATGCCCAGGCCTTCAGTGGGTTCCTGTCCTCGTCTGAGACATCACTGTACCTCTGTGACACCAGGAGGCCTTAAGCAGCTGCTGATGCTGCTTTTTAAATAGAGCCTGTAAGTGGTGTTCAGCCCTTGGCCTAGTGCAGGGCATCACCTGCAGGGATCTGGCCAAAGCTGAGCTTCCCTCACTTCGGATGGATGGGGAGTCGTGCTGTTTGTGCCTAAGCACTGCTCAGTGTGACTGCCTGGCAGAGCAGGCCTCCCTTGGCTCGGATGTGGCGGTACTTGGGCACAGGAGGAGGTTGGTTGGGGTTTGAAGGGAGGAGTGTTGGCTGTTCCCCCAGTGTAGTGACAGACAGCAGAGGGACACTGCTGTTCCTCTCTGGAAAACAACTTGTTCATTTGCACTTAGTGTTTGTTTGCTGAGGTACAAACCTTTTTGTTGTTTTGGTTTTCCCAACAGGGCCTACTTGGATATCGCATTCCAGGTAAACCTTGCAACCCCCTGTCTGCTGTCACCCGTTCCGGTCGGTGGGGTTGGGGCAGGGGCTGGTTGGTTGGTTTTTCCTCAGCAGCTTTATTTTCTGGGTTATAAGAGGGCTCCTGTGTTCTCTCCCTTCAAGGCACATTCCGCTCCAGGACAAAAGCATGAAGAACACTTGTCCTTCCTACTCCCCAAGTAAAGCTGCTACTGTGAAAACAAAGTCTGTGTTACCTGCGAAAGGTGACCTGGAGCCTGAGCTGGCACCAGCAGCCTACGGCAGAGCTCTGCTCTGCCAGGAGGAAGAGTGCTTAAATATTGATGCTCAGGAAGATGAGCAGCCAACAAGGGAGCCTGAGCCCACAGGCAGGAAGGAGCAGCTGTCAGTGAAGAAGCTGAGGGTTGTACTGTTTGCTCTGTGCTGCAACACTGAACAGGCTGCGGAGCACTTCCGGAACCCGCCGCGGCGCATCAAGCGCTGGCTCCGCAGGTTTCAGGCTTTCCAAGAGGAGAACTTGGCGTCGCTGTCAGAAGGCAAATACCTGAGCTTGGAGGCTGAGGAGAAGCTCGCGGAGTGGGTCCTCACACAGAGGGAGCAGCAGCTGCCCGTGAACGAGGAGACTCTCTTCCAGAAAGCCACCAAGATCGGCCGATCCCTCGAGGGTGGCTTCAAGATCTCCTACGAGTGGGCAGTGAGGTTCATGCTGCGGCACAACCTCAGCACGCACACTCGAAGGGCAGTGGCTCACCCGCTCCCCAAGGACGTGGAGGACAACGCCAGCTGCTTCATCGAGTTTGTGCAGCGGCAGATCCACACTCAGGACCTGCCTCTCTCCATGATTGCAGCCATCGACGAGATCTCCCTGTTCCTCGACGTGGAGGTGCTGAGCAGCGATGACCGGAAGGAGAACGCTCTGCAGACGGTGGGAACCGGGGAGCCCTGGTGCGACATCATCCTCACCATCCTCGCCGACGGAAGCGTTCTTCCGACGTTGGTCTTCTACAGGGGTCACGTCCAGCAGCCCGCCAACGTGCCGGAGTCGATCGTGTTGGAAGCGAAGGAGAACGGATACAGCGATGATGAAGTCATGGAGCTGTGGTCGTCCAGAGTGTGGCAGAAGCACACGCGGTGCCAGAACAGCAAGGGCATGCTGGTGCTGGATTGTCACCGAACACACCTCTCCGAGGAAGTACTTTCCTTGCTGAGCGCGTCCAGCACGCTGCCGGCCGTTGTCCCCGCCGGCTGCAGCTCCAAAATCCAACCTCTGGATGTTTGTATAAAAAGAACTGTGAAAAATTTCTTGCATAAAAAGTGGAAAGAGCAAGCCAAGGAGATGGCGGACTCCACGTGCGACTCGGACATTCTTCTGCAGCTGGTTCTGTGCTGGCTGGCAGAGGTGCTGGAGGTCATCAGTGACTCTCCTGAACTGGTGCAGCAGTCCTTCCTGGTGGCCAGCGTGCTGCCGGGGCCGGACGGCACAGCCAACTCCCCCACCCGCAACGCTGACATGCAGGAGGAGCTCATCACCACGCTGGAGGAGCAGCTGAAGCTGAGCGACGAGCCCCAGGCCCAGGCCCAGGCCGAGGAACCTGCAGACCCAGACATCCTCCACCAGCTCTTCGAAGGGGAGAGCGAGACTGAGTCCTTCTATGGCTTCGAAGATGCTGATTTGGATCTGATGGAGATGTGAGCGCTGTTCTGCCCGGTGCGATCCAGAAAGGGGTATTTTTTAAATAAATGTTGGATGAGACCATTACACTTCCCTGTGGATTTGTGGGTTTAGGAAATTCGTAGGCGATCACTCAGATAAATAGCCATTTATGCTGTTCATTTATAAGTTTTGTGCTTTTTTAAAAGAAAAATCACTGTGTTGGTATTTTCTGAAAATATATTGTGGGTGAATATTTTTGCGTTTTCTTTACCTCACTGTATCATAGTTTCTGTTTTTATTGTGCAGAAATGTTTTGAATTATACATTGTCAATGTGACCATTTCTAAAGAAAGGAGAAAAAACAAAACCTATGTAGCTAATGAACCAGTATCTAAATCTTTTGGGTTGTCTTAACACAGATACTCTTTTTTTTAACACTTGACCCAGAGGTTGAGGTTTCTGTGGAATATTTAGACCTGAGTTACTGCTCTACTGTGTGAACCTGCTCGAATTGGCCATTGAGATTTGGGTTTGGTTTGGATTTCCTGGTTTGTTTTTTGTTTGTTTTTTTTTTTTTTTCTACAAGAAATTCTTTTGCTTGTGAATTTGGAGGTGGGGTTGAAACCCAAGAGAAAGCATTGGCACGGTCAGTGCCAGCACCGCAGCTTGGGAGCCGGTGCTGCCCCCGAGCGCGCTCTGCGGTGACTCCACACAGCGCGGTGGTTCCCCCCCTGCCTTGCTCCAAAGAATCACTGACAAGAGGGTACATGGTGGGAGAGGGAAGTCAAGCCTGGCTTGACCTTCCTGTGCCGTAGATGGGAGTTAAAACCATACGGACCATTAAAGGTTGACCGTTAATTACTCGTAGTTGATAAACCTGCTTTAACCAGTGGCATCAGACACTACGTTCCTTAGAATTAGAAATCCCATTTGATGAAACAAACTGTGACATGCACAAAAAGAAGACGTTTGTTTTTATTTTTCACTGCCAGCTTAAATTTTTCTACAATTTGCATGTTTGAGGGTTTTTTAATTGTATGTATTATGGTATAAACGGAAAGCATTTTGACATACAGAATTCAGAAGCACCTGCACCTTTCTGTTTCCATAGAGGTTTTGTGAACCTTCCCCATGACCCAAGGAAAGCAGGAGGCAGCATGTGCAGACCTGTAAATGGTTCATCTTTAAAATGTACATAAGTGGAACATTTAATAAAACCAGGGAAATGGATTTATAAACATGTGTTTTTCTTATGAAGAACTATTTAACTCTTGTGCTATCGTAATGCTTAATATAAAGTGCATCGCGGATCCTCGGCGCGGGCCGGGTCCCTCCGTGCTCGGCACGAGAGGCGGCGCGGGGTCGCTGAGCATGTCCTGAGGAAAGCCAGCGGTGGGTGGTCGGTCATTCGGTGTGTTTACATGTCATTAACACTCGAGGCAGAGCTCTGTCCCATTTTCACTTTGCAGCCCCTGGCCTGCCCCGGCCTCTGCGGTGGGGGCGATGGCACAACCTGCTCTCCCCATGAGGTTTGGTTTTTAAATAAAAGTCTGAGAAATCATTAATAAAATCCTCTCCTGAGTAAGTATTTTTGTTGTTTCTCTCGGGTAGTAGGAGCTGAAGCAGGGACGTTGGCGGAACTGGCATCAACTGCCCCGTTTCTGCTGTCACCCACAAGGGGCACTGGCCTGGAGCTGCGTGGGGACAGCCAGACCCACCTGCAGCAGCGGGCACAGCACGAGCCCTTCTCCTCTCACTGGGGCAAATCTTAACCCTGACTTGTGCATTTAAACTAAGACCCAGCCAGCAAGTCCCAGCCAAGCCCAGAGCTAATCCCAGTCCCACAGGGAAACGCTTCAGTGATCCAAGCCTGCCCCTGGGAAACGTTCCTGAAGCAGACCCATGGCGACAGCGAGTGCTGCCGGCCCAGGGCTCACACATGCACTGGGACTGGGCCCACCAGGTCAGATATGGGCAGAGGATGGTGCCAGAACCTGTCAGGAAACAACAAAAGCCTTTTGCTCTTTTCTGCCCCTCTCCAGCAGAAATAAAGACTCATGGCTGCTGTTAACCATCACCCGTGGAACCAGGAGGCTTTCTGAGGTCAGTAGTTTTGGAGCATCCCCCAGACAGGATCCCAACCATAGCACAGACACAAAGCTTTGTCTTAACAGGTTTATTTCACTTCCAAAACAACCCAGAATCAGAGCTTCAAAAGGAGCATCAGATTTACAGCACATACAAAGGGTGGTAACGTGGACACAGCAGCCTGGCCAGCTCTCCAGGGGTCACTCGATGCCACTGCAAGAAGGGGTTTGTTAAGGGCAGGGTGGCACCAGCTGCACCAACACAATCAGCACTTCTGCTTCCATTGGGCAGTGCCAGTCAGTGACACAGGTTCTGGGCAAGCACGAAGGCAACAAAGCCTCGGTGCACCCACAAACGCACCCCATTCCCAAGGGACTTACGGGCCCTTATCCCATTCATTTTGTGCCAGCTTCAGACCGACGCTCGCGGGCGCGTTACCTGACCAGGTGAGCTATGTCCCAGTTGGCTTCCAGGGTCAGGGGTCCTTCCACCTCCACCCCTTTCTCCGTCGCGATAGCTACTTCATACTGAGGACAGGAAACACGGGCAGCGCTCAGGAAAGCCTGAATCCCAAGCCCAAACCCCAGCCCTGCGCGGCCACGCACTCACCCTGTTGAAGGACCGAGCGTCCCTGTAGTACAGAATCTTCATGCAACGCTCAATCAGGTCGCGGGCCTCCTCCTGCGTGAGGCTGGGTTTCTTCTCCAGGACTTCCCTCATCAGCGGCTGTGGGGATAAGAGAGTAAAAAACCCCCCGTGCTCAGCAGCTGCCGCCCAGAGCTGGGCTGAGCCAAGCGAGGGCCAACTCTACCTGAGCCAGGTACGCTCCGTAACCCGTCGCAAGCGTGGGGGCTTCGTAGGCGACGCCGAGCATGTCCACGTAACCCAGGAAGCTGATGGGAGAGAGCTGTGAGCGTTGAGGACGGACCCGGCTCCCAGCCAGAGAGCCCCCGGGGAAGGAGGTGCAGGAGCATCGCTCACCTCTCGCCGTTGTAGAAGCCTCCGATGACAACGGTGTTCCAGAGCGGGTTGATCTTGGACCTCCGGTTGTACATGACTCTTGTCAGCCAGGAATGAATGGCTTTCGGGCTGTAGCTGTGCCCGTCTCCCAGCAGCTCCTCATCGATCCTAATTCAGATGGGAATTTCACCCAACTAAAGCCCAGATACAGGCACCCTCCGACAGGCTGCTTTCAACCAGGACCTTACAGGGGCTGAATCAGCCAAAGGCCACGAGGAATCACTCAAACCGGCTCCCCCCGGTGCTCAGCAAGGAGCTGGCGAGGACATTGGTACCAAGGGGACTGCGCAGGGATTCCAGCCCGGTTTTATCCCTGCTCAGGGGACGCGTTTAACCCCGTTTCATCCCTTCGGAAGCCGGCAGGGAAGAGGACCGCGGCCCGCAGCAGTGCCCGGGGCCACTCACACCATCTGGTCGATGACCTGCGCCAGGTACTGGAAGTCGGCGTAGTCCCCCGAGGCTCCCAGCATGGTGGTGTCGTTCACCTTCAGCAGCCGGGAGATGCCGCGGAACCGGGCGAGGGAGCCGTAGGAGCCCATCATGTCGGCGGCGATGATCACCCCTCCGTCGAACTTCGCCCCCAGCACCGACGTGCCCGTCACCATGGGGCTCCTGCAGGCCCAACCATCAGCGCGCCCACCGCGGCCCCGCTTCCGCCCACCGCGGCCGCGCCTCCCGCCCAGCCCAGCCCGCGGAGCCCCCCGCTCACAGGGTGCCGGTGCGGGGCAGGACGCCCGCGGCGGGGCCGGGCGCGCAGGGGTCGTGCGCTTGCCCCGGGGCCGGGCCCCCGGCCCAGAACGGCGGCGGCGGCGGCATCCGTGCGGTCCCGGCCTCCATCTTGGTGACGGTGCGGCCCGCGCTGCGCACGCGCGGAGGAGGATTGGCCGCTCCCGGCCGCCGTCGGTTGGGCGGGGTCAGAGCCGGGAGGGAGGGCGGGAGGGACCGGGCGCCATCTTGTGCGTGGCGGAAGTGTCCCGAGCGCCCTGCTGTCCGCCCCCACAGGGCCTGGCCCCGCTCCCCGCCGCAGGCCCCCGGGTCCCGGCGCCGCGCCCGAAGCACCGGAGCCGCGGGTCCCTCCCGGGGGCTGGCGCGGAAGTTGGGGACCGCGACGGTCCCGCTCCCTCAGCAAGATGGCGGCGCCCTGCCGGCGGCGCCAGGTGACCACGTGATCGCCCTCCTGAGGCGGGCAGGCAGTGGGCGTGTTTGGCTCCACCCCTGGGCGTGGCGTGGCGCTGCGCTGGCCAATGGGCGGGCTCGGGGGCGGGGCCTGGGCCAAGGTAACAGGTTGCGGTGGGCAGCGGCGGGAGCGGCGCCGGCGGCGGGCGGTGAGTGCCGGGCTCGGGGCTGAGCGGGTCCTGCCCCACGGCAGCGCCCGACGGGGCTATGGGGCTGCTGACCCGGGGGGGCTCTGGGTTATGGGGCAGCGAGGGTCGGTGCTGCCCTTCCCGCTATGTGCCCGGCCCCATGGCAGAGGCTGTGGGGCTGGACCCCGGGGGCTGTTGTCCTTGGCGTTGTCCTGCACGTAAGGGATGGGACTGGAGGTGTTGTGCTTCCTGGGCTGTGCTCTGCCCTATGGTAGAACCTATAGGGGCAGGGCCTGCTGGGAGCTTTCGTCTGGGTGAACCTTGACCTTTAGAAGCTCCTATAGGAGCTGGCACTGTGGGGCCCCTTGTGCTTGGCTTGTGCTCCACCCTATTGCAGTCCCCATAGGGGTGTCACCTGCCCTACAGCATGACCTATAAGGAGCCCTAGGCAGGTGAGGGGCCTGGGTTGTCCTTATTCTACCATCTACCTCCATCAGGGATCTGCTGTCCCCTATAGCCATGATGGGACCTGCCTTTACCTGGTCCCTGTGGGGTTGTCACTTCCATAAGGGATTTGCATTCCCCTTTGGAAGTTGTGTCTGCACAACAAGGCTTGTCCTTCGAGGAGAGGTCCCATAGCATCCCTCCATCGGGCCGCCGGCAACGGCTGCCACTGCTCCTCCTCATTAGTAGAGAGAGAACGAACCTGTGCCTTGTGTGAGGGGCAGGAGGGTGAGTGACATCCTGGAGCGGGGTAAAGCCTCTTGGACCTGGCGGGAGCAGGGAAGCAGCGGCAGCGCAGTGGCTGCTGCGGGCCGGGCTCAGCCCCTCCGTAACGTGGCACCTCCTGAAACTTTAATGCCAGGAGCTGCCCTACTTCGCTGCGCTCCCAGGGCTGTATTTTTAGCAGCCTGTTTAAATAAGACAGAGAAATCCAGGGCTTGGGTGTCGCCCCTGCTGCCATCTGACTGACTCCTTGCCTCTCGAGGTCCTGATGCACCAGGGATCGCTGCCCGCTCCCCATCCTCTGTCCCCTGTTACAGGCTTTTGTTTCAGAGGGTGTCTGCGGCTTGCTCCGCGCTGCCTTTGCTCCCTGACCAGTGGAGTTGGTTTGCAGTTGAGCTGTGTTTCCATCCCCATCCAAGGAGATAAGGTGCCGTTTGCTGATGGAGCCCCTCGCCCACTGCGTCGTGGCTGTGGTACTTGTAGCATCTTCCCCTCAGCATCTTCTGCCTTTGGGTGGGAGCTGCAGCATCACCCCTGAGGGTGCCGCCCCTCGGGTGGTGGTTTTGGGGTGCCCGAGGGATAGCGGGATGCTGGAGCTGGGTCTGGAACACCCAAGGAGATGGGGATGTGCACAGTGTGGGGTGAAACCAGAGCATCCGAGCCCTGCAGCACAGATCCGTGTTATGCTCCTGGGCCTCCTCCCTGCTCCCTGACGGTATTCCCCTGGGAAATACTTATCCTCGTGAGCCTGTGGATCAAAATAATCCTGGTTTCAAACACAATTTGCCTAGAAACCACTAAACCAATGGGGCTGGTGCAGGGGTGAGCACGTTACGGTGTGGCCTGTGCCATGTCGGTGGTCACGGAGCACCACACTAGGTGTGGTGATGGTTCTGGGTCTGACCCTGGGGCGCTGGGTCCCGCAGGAGGGGACGAGGCTTTTGGTTTCCGAAACCCGGCCCTGGGAGCGGCAGGGAACAGGATTTTCCAGTATCTGGGTTGATGATTAACCCCAGGGCTCTGCCTGCGGCTGGGCTGGGTTGAAGTGCGATGGAATTCGGTTCTTATCAGCTCCGGTGGGAGCCCCAGGGGCCATCCCCTGCAGAGTGACCCTCATCTCCCCCTGGACATCCCTCTTGCAGGCCCCGGCAGCGGCACGGTGCTGACATGAGCCGGTCCCTGTTGCATGATACCGGTGCCCTGGTTTCGGGTTCCCCCGGCCCGGACGCGGCTCACGTGTTTGGCCAAGGACTTATCGGGGTTTCGGGCTCCGGGGTTTGCAGGGGAGCAGGAACAGCCGGTCCGTGCCGGTGATGGGCAGGGGACAGGAACGGGTGCGCTGTCTGCACCGGAGATCAGCCCCGGACTTTGGCCAGGGCTGAGCAAGCAGCGCTGCGATGGGGCAGAGCTATGGGGAAACCGAACTGAGCTGTGCCATGAGCCAAAACCAGCGCGGCTGATGGAGGAGATGGGTCTGCCCCGGCGGCTGTTCCCCCGGTTGAGGCGCTGGCAGGGAGCGGAGCCGGGCAGAGCCCCGCTCGGCGTAGGAGCGCTTCCAGCACCGCCTGCTCATTGCAAAACAACTTTCTGGGTTAACGTCGGCGGCACAAAGGGCTCATTGTACCGCGGCCCCGGGCGAGCGGAGCTGGCCGCCGGCCATCGCGGCACCGCCGGCCCGCAGCGCGATGCTGGAGCTGCGTGAGCACCACAGAGCCCCCTCCTGCGGGTCAGGTCTCTGCCGGCCCTGCTCCTACCTTGGCTGGGTGCGGGACCCCCGCGGCTCGGTGCTGCTGTCACTGCCAGCCCGAGCCAGGGCAGGGGAAGGTGCGTTTGAGCGCGGTACAGGCCCTGGGGACAATAACCAGCCTATTCTTAGCCCTGATTTTCCATCCTGCCTGCTTCCAGGCTCCTTCCCTGTGGTTTCCAGTGAAACCCCCTCCTGGGGCTGTGTTTCCAGCCTGGGGCTGGGTGTTGCTCTCCCACACAGGAATGTGATCTGGCTTCAGCCTTTTATCTGCAAGCTGGAGCCCTTCCAGAAGGAGGGAGGCATTCCTGGCTGCTGACCAGCCGGGCCTGGCTCACCTGCCTCCTCCCAGCTCCCCAAATGCTGCCAGAGCTCCCCAAAGCCAGGAGCGGAGCCGCACCTCGAGCCGGTGCAAATCCTGTTCTCCGTGGGCCGGGCTGTGCCAGTTGGGCTTGAGCCCAGCGACGTCCCCGGCCGCATCCGGCGCTGTGGTTCCTCGCCACCTGCTTCCCGGCCGTGCCAGGGCGGGTGCTGGGGCTGAGCCGTGTCCTGTGCCGGCGGTGGCGATGCGATGCTGCGCTGTTGCTGTGATGCTGTCATGGTGCCGTGGTGCTGCGCCACCCCGCACCACCCATCCAAAGGTCTTGTCCAGGCGGGTGCTGCGCCCAGGGCTCCCGGTTCCCACCCCGATAACGGCGGGGCTGAGCCCTCTCCCTCATCACCCGCTGCACTTTGGACACAGCAGCCGTGGAACGTTCCGAATCCTGCTGCCGAAACCCGTTCCCTCTGCTCAGTTCCCTCCTGCAGGTTGGTGCTGTCCTGCTCCTCCCAGACTTCCATCCCCACGCTCGGAGGGGACAGCACTGATGGGATTTGCCTCAGGGGCTCTCGCTGCAGGATCAGGGGGTGTTTAGAGGCTGGTGTCTGTGGCTGATCTCGTTAGCACTGGGCAGGGATAATGAACTCACAGAGCGGGCTCTTCTCCGGTCCCCTGCGCTCTCTCCTGGGCTCCGTTGCCTCTGAAGTGAGGAGCTGGTCCCTGCCTGCGCTGCCCTCGCTGCCGGCTCTGGGGAGGGATGCAGGAGACCCCGAGGTGACCCTGGCAAATGGAGGAGCCGCAGGGGCTGCCCCTGCCGAGCTTGGCCGGGGCACGGGAGCAGACGGCGGCGGTGGGGAGCTGGCGGGGCCGGGGAAGCAAATGCTCGTCCTTCCTGCACATCACCCGCTGCTGCTCCGGACCCGGCATCCCCAGTGCCTCTTGTCCCCCAAGCGGGAAGCTGCGTCCCACGGCACTGGGGCTCCGGCTTCTTCCCTGGGGTGGGCACGAGGGATGTGGGGGGGCTCATGGCCGATGTCAGAGAGCCAAGGTGCGCCTGGCATCCTGCTGCACCATCCGCATTCGAGCTCCATCCCTGCCTGCTTCCTGCTGTGGGCTGGGGCAGCTTTTGGGGGCGATGTGTGGAGCTGAGCTGGAAGCTGGGGGCTTTGGGTTTGTTTCGGTGTTTCCCTCCAAGTGCAGGATGTGTTTAAGCATCTCCCCGCCTGCCTCGGGGTCACTTCGTGTCCCGGGGTCCTCCTAGGACACCCTCCTGGGTGCAAGCTGAGAGCTCAGTACCTCGTGTTGCTCCCAGCATCCAGTTTATTTACAGCAGAGAAAAGGAGCTGCTGCTGATCCTGATGCTCGGGGCGATGCTGCGGAGTTTAGGGGCTGATCTGGGGCTTTTCCATCATTTAACCCCTCCCAGGTGCCTATAGAGGAGCTCACCCCCCCCCCGCATCCTCTGCTCCTGCCGGTCTCCTGCTGGTCAGCATCGCCCTGGGAGCTGCCGGGGCCGAGGGGGAGGGTTACATCACGCTGTTCCCAATATGTCACTGCTCATATCTGTCCCCTCCCCACGGGACCGGGTGGCTGCCCCGGCCGCAGGCGCTGGGGTGATGCTGAGGGACGCCCGAGCTCCGGCTGCAGCGCGGCTGCGGCGTTCCGCAAGGGCTGGGAAGCAGCGGGAGCCGAGCCCGGCTGCGGAGCCCGGCTGGGATCACTGCCTGCGATCGCTGCCTGCCCTCTGCATCCCCGGGGT